GGTTTGTTAATTAAGGTACCATTCGTTCAAGTCTTGGATGTAATTTTGTATTATTTTCCGTCGTTATCCTGAATCAAAAGTAAGGTTTTAAAATTGATTATAATTTCAAGCATCAAGTTTTGTTATTAGTTATGCTTGCATTTTATGTTTAATAACATTTTTACATTTCATTTGTATGAGTATAACACTGTTATTAAAGTTTTTTTTATCTTTTTTTCAGATTGTACGCAAAACGTTGACCTGTGAAAGTGATCATTAAGGTTGCAGAGAGATTTACATACCTCGTTGTGTAAAATTTTAAACTTATTTGTGAAAGTATTATCATTGGTTTTACATTCTTTATTCTATTTTTAATTTTTTTTCTTTTCTTTTTCTTTTGTACTTATATCATGCAGAAGATTTGCGACTTGTTAGTAGTAAAGTTATATTCACAATCATTTGTATATACGTCCTTGTCGAACGCTTTACATTGTTTTGTTAATTTAACACCATAATTTCAGGTTTGTTTCATCTGAATTATTATTTTACAATCACGTGATTGTAACCGTCACGTCTCATAATTGATAAATTGTGAGTTATCAAATGTAATCAATTTTTTCGACAATTCACATATTTTTCGACAATCACAATAAAATGTTAGTGGCCAATAAGTGAGTTGTTTCTACAATAATTTATAATTACTTTCTTTTATGCAATTATTAGGCGATCTGAATATATGTAACATACCATACTCTAAGATTATATATTATTATATTAAAAGATTTGAATACACAGCAAGTAATATTAGTTCCGATAATAAATCGAACAAAAATTCTATTCAGATATCAAATTTATGTAATACACTTAATCGTAGCAGATTTACGAAGATTGTTACGACAGGCTGTCTTCATCAAGGGGGTTATATGAAAAAATATATCGTTATTATTGGTATTTATTTTATGTTGAATATTCGTTAATTTGTATAAATTTAATTTGTAGAAAAATTATTTTCCGTTATAGAAGCACTTTGTATATTATGTATAAAAAAAAAGAAAAAAATAATTTACATTTACATACATGCCTGCTCTGGAAGTTGTACTGGCCGAGGTTGAAACACATCGAAGTCGATAATAATATGATATTGAGTTAATGCTTGGTAATAATTTGTTCGAATTCTGTCTCACGCTTCAACGATATGCTATGTAAGATATAAAGTCAATGAATAATTTTAATGATCATTTAACGTATTATTTTAAAAATATTTAATTGTTTTATAGACTGGACTAAATAGTTTATGCCAAAGAACGATTGGAATCTAAGAAAATACATAATTATCACGACTGGTGGTTTAGAGATGATGTTGTTGGATACTGCATTAATTGAATACTACAGTATATAAGGCTTAAGAATGAATCGATGGAGCTGTTGAATTTTACATATTACAGGCTATTGATAATAGTTGTAGCGCATAAAATGTTACCTGCAACAGGAGGTAAGTAAAATTCCTTCTTACGGTTATAATACAATGTATAAGTAGTTCACCGACAAATTTTTTTTTTAATATTTTATCATTGTAGGTGTCTCATGTAAGGAGCCGAAGTAGATACTATTACTAATGCGATGCATCGGTTTTTTCCATTATCTTGATTGAAATTTTAACGGTACTACACGCTAATCTTAGCCTCGAAATTTTGGAAAGATTTTTCTTAGTAATTTGGGAGATAATGTCTGAAACACTTTTTCAGTTAGTTCATAATAATCTGGAAGTAAGAAATATATATTTAAAAAATTCACTTATTCAAATAAACGTTTACAGATTTTAACTGTTATATCAAAAATTGTGTTTACAGAAAAGAAGACCACGTTCATTCTACTTTAATCTACACCAGATGCTTCATACAGTCATTAAATTTTACAATATTGGTACGGATGAGACATGGAATGTGGAGATTTTAGAGAATATTGAAAACATCAAAATACTTACTTTTCATACACTTACTTCAATAATTTACAAGTTTGATAATTTTCCAATTAATTAAACGATCTTTAATGCAAAACAATAAACAAATACTGAAACAATTGTAGATTCGCTGAATCTTTTCATAGCTCGGAATAAGCGTTAAATATGAAATAAGTTTTATTTAAAATGTCGATAAGTTCAATTTTGTATTCCAACTCTTTGCCTTCATTAAATTTAATTTTAATTTATATTGTTTATACTTAATTATTTTAATGTCGCAGTCGCATTGACTACTTGAGATGTAAACAAAAATAGTAAATATCAGAGCACTCTCTCCCTCTCTTTCTCTCTCTCTCTCTCTCCCTCTCTCTCTCAGGATCTTCTTCGTGTTAGTTTCAAAATAATGACTTAAAGTAAATATATTTCTATATTAAGCACTTGCTAAATAATTTGTACAATTCAAGTGTTGTGTCGCTAAAATATACATAATATCTTAAAATATAAGCAGTATTCGTTCGTCGCGTGTTGCTATTTAAAATGATAGCTATTATTTTAACACAAGTGAACTTGCATCGTCTGCGTGCAATGGGGTCCATGCGAGTCATTGTTTGTTCGCAAAGTTTTCGTTATAAACAGTCGTATAGGCTGTCTTTATAAAAGACAATTAAGTTTCGCGAAGTAAATTTAGTAACTACTCGTTAAAAAATAATTAGCGCGTAATAGAGTCAGTGTATCATTTAAGAGGATTTCAACCACTTCAATGACGACCTATTCAATTAGCTACGAATCAATCACTCTCAATTTCGACCTTATCGCGGAGGAATGTTTTGGAGCCATCGCAGAACTTCTTAAGTAGTAAGTAAATTTTCGAATCTCACCGATCACACTCAATCATGTCGAGGACAAAAAGTCTGAATCGGCATGAGTGATTGATTGGTTATAATTAATTAGAAGAAGAATATTGAGAAGAAAATTAATAGATGAAAGAAAATTTACATGAAAAATCTTTGATATCGTTGCCGCTTCGTTAAGTATCGAAATACATTGAGAATTTCATTTCTTGGTACTGAAATTATTATTTATCGAAAATAGTACGAAGCATCATGTTCGGTGTTGTCGATATTTAACTATTTGCTGCAAACTCGTGTTTTATGTACTTTTGTCGTATATATAAATATGTACATATTCCGTATAGATGTACTATGGTCTTTATCATTCGTGCCCCGTTCTTAGAGCTGTTATTATACGAGCATGGTCAAATGAGGATAGGATGATATTTATAAGATGATCGAATTGGACAACGGCAACGCGGCTTGATATAGAATTCTAATAGTAGAGGTAGAACATCGATCTTACATCGATTTACAACATGTTAAACAAACGGAATTCTTAATCACGAAATTAACATAAACTATATTTCGGCAGAATTTATGATATCTTATTCGTCGAAGAATTAACTCTTTTCATCGATTATTTTATTTATTAATTTTTCTAATCGATACAAATTTTAATTAATTTCTACGAATTATTTCTTTTGTACAAATTTTTATTTTTAAATTTCACGTAGTATACTTTAGTCTCGTCGAAGCACATTTCATGTATCTTCTATTAAACGATATTATACCGTATAGACGGTATATGTACGATCAATTTTATTTGTCGATAATTATAGCGTGAATGAAATTAACAGAAAAAAATACATATCAATTTACGAATATTTATTCGAAAATCAAACAATTGGCAAAGAAGGGGAATGAATAAATAAATAGATAAAAAAAATAAGAAAAGAAAAGAAAAGAGAGAAAAGAATACGACGAAGGTATGTTAATATGATCGAAGTACAAATACAAGACGATCAAGAAGTAGTAACCGAAGATAAAAGAACTCGAATAAAAACGGGGAAATATCTAAATTTGGAAACCGTATAGTTTTCTTTTTTTTCTCTTTCTTTTTCTCTCCGTTTTATACTTACATACCTATGCGCTATGTATCCCTTTTCTATCATTGTCTCGTCGTCCAGATGAAGAACTTTCTGAATATCTCTTGATAATCGTTCTTGCTATCATCCTCTTACTTCTACTTCAATTTATTATCCCTCTCTTTCTCTCTCTTTCTCTTTTACATGGAAACGTACACAGAAACACAAATATAAAGAAGATATAGATGGTGAAGCAAAAACTTCGATCAATTTCGATTATCTCCGTTCTTTTTAGAAATATTTAGAGAACTTCGATTTAGAAAACTTCGTATTAGTAATAAGTAATAATTTTCTCTGCAGATGCAAATTGATAAATGATATATTTGAAGTCGATTTTCTCATTTTTGTTTGTGTTTGTCCTTTTGTTTTTCTTTTCAACGAAATCTTATTCCATCAACGACAATTTTTGATTCTGATTCTGATTTGTTGAGTTCGTAGTTTTCCATAAAAAAAGAAAATAAGATTCAAAATAAAAAAATATATTAATCCACTACTAATATGTATGTGTGCAGATATAAAATTATTAATTCAAGAGATATATTTTAATTTAGAGGGTTAGACAATACAACATTAGTGGGTCTCGAAAAATGGTCTTGTTTTTAAAAATCTATAAACTCAAAAGTATCAAACGAATATATTTTATTTTTGGCTACATGCTAATTTATAATTTAAACTATCTCTTTTATAAATATTATTGAAAAATATTAAAGAATGGCAGCGCTGCAGCTGATGCCGTAGAGGTCCTTCCGCCGGAACGCGCGTAGGTGACTTAAAGTAAATTTCTATAAGGAGGAGTCACACGATATCACTAATGTAAAACTGAGTCCACGAATGCTCAATTCCATCAACTTTACTTCACAGTTTCATATCTTATACTTCACAAACGTTAGTGATTACAGAAAAAAAAGGTAACAAAGTTTAGGGATTCCGTACACATAGACGCATAGACAATAGAACAGATATGCGCGCCCAAACTACGACGTTCATATAAGATTATTAATTAGTGAAATAGATACTTGATCAAAAATTGGGTTATTTGGACGATTAATAATAATATTAGTTCATGAATTATGTTTTTATTTTTAAACTTTTATTTTTAATTTTTATTTTTAAACTTTTTATTTTTAAGATTAGGAATATTTATAATATAATTATAAAGAAGAGATAATAAGTAGAGGTTTACAAATTTTTTTAATAATTTTAATAAGATATATAGGTAGATGTAAAAATTATTAAAGGTAATAGAAATAAAATAAAGTTTTTTATTTTATTTTATTTTATTTTATTTTATTTTACATTAAAGATTATTATTTTATAATAATTTTAATTAAGGATTTAAATAGTTAAAATTTTTTAAATATTAGATTGTGGATCTAAAAATATAATATTATATTTTAAATTATATTAATTATAAATATTTTTTTTAACATTAGTTTTTATAATTTCATCTATAATTTTTTTGTTAATAAAAGTAAGTTTATTAATAAAATGAGTATATATAAGAGTTAATTCAATAAGTATAGAATTTATTATATATATAGATTGAGTATCATTAATATTTTTTAGATTAGTCTTAAGAATTTCTAGGTTTGTTATATTGTATAGGTTAAAATATACAGATGTGGATAAAAATATTAATCAATTCTTTTTATTAATAATTATATTTGTTTTAAGAATATTATTATTAATTATTTGTCCTAATATTATAGGATTATTATTAGGATGAGGTAAATTGGGTTTAATTTCTTATTGTTTAGTAATTTATTATCAAAATTTAGTCTTTTTCTTCTGGAATAATTACTCTTTTATTAAATCAAAATGGTGATGTTGATATTTTAATAATAAATAGTTTAATAGTTATTTTATGTTCATGAAATGGAATATTTTATAAATTAGATTTTATATATATATCCTTAGTAATAACATTAAAAGCATTTCCAAGAGGGCTTAATTACCATTTTCTTCTTAGTTACCATTAACAATAGCTGCTCCTACTCCAGTTTCTTCTTTAGTGCATTCATCAACTTTAGTAACAGCAGGAGTTTATTTATTAATACATTATAATAATTTTTAAATCGGTAATCATTTAATGATTTTAATATTATATATTTCTAGATGTACAATAATAATATCTGGATTAATATCAAATTGTAAGAATGATTTAAAAAAAATTATTGCATTATCGACTTTAAGTCATTTAGTTATTCATACATTATTTAAATCTTATATATATATCTTATATATATATTATTTAAATATGTATATATATATATATATATCTTATATATATATATATAGTTAAATCTTAGTATAATCTTATATATATATATATATATATATATATATATATATATATATTTATACATTACACGTACTAATTTTTATAAATAATATGAATATGAGAAAAGGACTGCGATTTATTTGTTCAATAATTTTAAACATTTAACGAATTCATAAATGCATATAATGAAATGTTAGTACAATGCATAATATAAGTGACGTCGTCTTGTTTAATTATTTATACTGACCATAGTATTCGTATACATTGACTATTTATTTTTTAAAATACACTCAACTGATAAATGAAAATACTGACTAAATAAATGGAAATGTCAGAAATGTTATTTTTATTGTACTTGACTTTAATCTTCCAAACATTCTTTATATTTACATTTATTTTTAAAAAAAATTTGGATTACACACAAACACATCTATATATAATGTATCATATTTTATTGTTTACAATTCAAATCATAAGGGAAATTTTGTTAATTTTTTTTATAATTAATGAAGTAATAAGCGTGTTTTAACAAAATAACATATTATAAACGTAATCAATATTTACATGGAAGAGTATTGAGCTATGTTCTGGGTCGTTTTGAAGGATCTTAAGTAAAAGACGAAGTCAAGGAGGATATCAAGTTTTGTGAAAAACGAGAATCCTCATCGAGAACAATACTATTTATAACAAATTCGAATTGAACCATGTTTGATATTAATAAGATGACTATAAAATATTACAAATTTAATTTTTTTAATGAAATAAGCTAAAAAATTATTGATATTTTGTAGGAAAAAGTTTATATGCATTCTATTTATCTTTTACTTAATGAAAGTTTGGCCTGCAAAGTCTTCATGACTTCGTAAGTGTTATTTTATTTATTCATCTTAAGATTTTTCTTTTTAATTGAGAAAACTGTGTCTAAATTTATTGATGTAAAAATTATATTGAGTATATAATAAACTCTAAGTAATTTAGTTGTCTTATAT